GGAGTATGCGTCAAATTTAGACCCATCGCTATTACCTCTCCATTTTTGAAAACTATGGAGAAATTACTTTTACTTAGTCTTGTATCTTCGCTTAACTCCTTTACTGACCCTAAACAATTTACCTATAAACATACTAGAAGCACTTCAAATGCAGCTGCCGTCATATATCATAACATTGCTTCCAGTCTAGACTTTCTTCCTTACAAACTCTACTCAAAACATTCTTCTTCGTCCTTTCACACTCTATATATATCTTGACCTTTTGTCACCGCTTACGCTAGTAAATATGCTAGTATATCTACTTTTCTAGCACCTTCAAACATTCTGTTCACTTTTAGCTTTGCTACCGATATGCTAATATGTTTTTGTCAAAATTAACTATGACTAACCATAATCTATGTAGAATTTTATTTATTGTTAATGTACACAATTGGATGCTGTATCCTGTAGTGAAATGGTGAGAATTCCATTCTGTATCACAAGTACTGTTTTGGAATAAAACAAATTATTATTATTATTGCTAATTCTTTCCATCTACTCATCTGATCTTCAGTATGGAGTGAAGTGAACCAACGAAGAACCTGTAGCTCAAAAATTTTGCATAAGGAAAATATTAATTCAGGCATTTATATATATATATATATATATATGCTTATAAATTGATTGGATAATGCGACAGACAACGGCAACCAACGAGGGAACAGGCATAAAATGGACTGACACAAAAGACTTGGAGGATCTGGATTTCGTCGATGATATATGTCTGATTTCCCATAAACTGGAAGATATGCAAGTGAAAAGTAACAAGTTGGCAGAAGAAGCATCAAAGATAGGACTTCATGTGAACATAGATAAAACAGAGATGATGAAGATTCCTAGCCAACATCAACAAACAACAACAACAGACAACAATCAGCATAAGTGGGAAGAACCTGAAAGAAACAACCTCCTTCACCTACCTGGGAAGCATCGTCTCAATTACAGGCGGAACTGACGAGGACATCAAAGTCAGAATCGGAAAAGCAAGACAAGCTTTCATTACTCTCAAATTTGTGTGGAGGTCAACAGCAATCAGCATCAAAAATAAGATCCGGATTTTCAACTTCAATGTGAAGTCAGTCAGTGCTACTATACGGATCAGAGACTTGGCGAGTCATAAAGAGCATCTAAAACACACTTCAAACCTTCATTAACACTGTCTTCGCTCAATACTCAAGATCAGATGGCCAGAAAAGATCAGCAACAGGGATCTCTGGGAGCGAACCAATCAGGAACCGATTGTGAAACAAATAGGCAGAAAGAAATGGAGATGGATTGGCCATACGCTGAGGAAACCATCAAGTGACATCACTAGACAAGCCCTCGAGTGGAACCCGAAAGGGAGGCGGCGAGTTGGTCGTCAGTGCAAGGGTGATTTGGAGGAGGTCATGCGAGGAGGAGATGAAAGCATGTGGACAGACCTGGAGCAGGTTGAAAAAGTTTCAGAAAACCGAAGGCAATGGAGATGCGCAGCTGAAGCCCTATGTTCCTCTAGGAACTAAAGGATACAATAATAATAATAATATATGCTTATATACATAGAATATTCTAGAATAGTAGTCAATAACAATATTAGTATTTTTCAAATAATATCGATTTGTTAAGTAAGATCACAATGGAATTACAGTCATTAAAGATGCACAAATAGGCATAATAGGCATTAAAATTTAACAGCGAATTGAATATCAACTAAAATCAGGAAATTTCTACAAAAAAATTGAGGATCATTCTAACCTTGATGGCCAGTGGAGTAAGGACAATGTCTGAACCAACTTCTTGTTTTGGACACATAAATTAGGCTTCTTAATATGAACCCCAACAGACAGCCTTATCAATGTTTAGTAAACAAACTCTTAAGGCAAAGTTAAGATTAGTTCGTTTGCTGCTTTAGATGACTTTGAAAACCACCTTGTTATCATCAGTTTTGTGTCTTGTATCCACAAGATGAGATAGAATAGCGCGCTACGAATGGATTTTGTTTGTCCTTTACTTACCTAACCAATCACACAGGGTGATTTTTGGAAATCCGACAAGAAACACGCCTAATTATACGGCCTATGTAACTGGCTCCACAGGAACAGTTAAACTGGTAGTTACTCCCGAACGCAAAAGAGGAGTGTTTTTAAAGACACATCGTAATTCAGCAGCAGAGAATGCTCCTTTTACCGCATTTCTAAAGCGTTGTGTTAATTAACATCCTCTTCTATAGATTCGGGACTTTTGAGGAAGATACTAGCTGAGAATGGCTATCCACCACGCTTTATAGATATACATATAAAGCTGAAAATCAAAACAGAATAAACCATCTGTGTGCCAAAGAAGATGTTATACATGAATGTGGCGTTAAATGTGACCTTCTGGCCGACATCCTACAGAGAAGAATATCTAACGCCCTGAAAAGAACATTCTCTGCAGCTACATTACGATTAGTATTCTCAAGCTACCTGTTGTTCTTCAACAACTCCGAGGATAAACTATCCCATTTGACCATTTCTGTGTGTATCTACTAATTTACCTACTCATATGGAGTCAGTGAGATATATAGGTCGTTCTATGCGCCGTTTATCCAAATGAGTCAAAGAAAATTACCACGCTTGCTACGAAAAGGTAACAGTGGATCAATAAAGAGTGCTGTATAATTGAACATGCAGTCAGCACTAGTCACTCAATATGCACAGAGAATTCATTCGAAGTTATCTATAAAGTTAAAAGAAGCCTCCTGAAAACGGTAAGCTTCCGTATACTTTGCATTTCCAAGAAGCCCTTGGCTATCCGGATAGAAAACCCTGATTTATGCACACAGAAAAAGCTTCTCCACTCCATCTTTCCAACTTGGGTATACTTCCAGGCTCTGTGGTTTTGTTATTATTGTTTTGCTTTCTCGTTTGTTTTTTGAATTTTCCTTCGGTGGAATAGCGGTTAAGACGCTCGCCGACCATGCACATGGTCCCGGGTTCAATCCCCGGCCACAGACGCACTCCTTTACCTCGCTAAGCCAGAAATAATGCTGGTAAAGAGGAAAGGTTGGGCATGAGGCTAGTAACCCCATCCTGTAAAACTTAAACACTACTACAGAAACTTCAAGCCAATAGCTTGAAGCCCTATGTTCCACTGGGGAACGTGAAGGAAAAATTATTATTATTATTATTTTCTCGTTTGTTTTTTGAATTTTCCTCAGACCTCTCAGTGACATTTCTTACTAAGCCCTTCATTTACTCTTCCCACCTATTACATAATTCATTTTTTAGACAAGTGTCCCCATTATCTTTCTACTTCATACTATGCAGCCCTTGTCAATACTTATCGATCTTCACCCTCAGCTTAGTTACAATTTTGATTATTCATCACATATTAGAGACATTTTAATGACGTAATCATTAACCATAACTAAGGTTTATTTTTGTTTGACATTCCTAATGTACACACATACACACACAAAAAATAATTATATATAAGTGCGACTGTACAGGCAAGTGAATGAATTCGCCACCGAAAAGAGACTCTTCGCTGAAATGTATTGTTCTTATAGATCATAAAAAACTACGGAGCATTAGATATGAAGTGATATGAAGTTAAAATTCTGAAGTAGTAGAGAAGCTTTGTAGCTCAGGTGGATGATTTGCAATTAATAGTGTCCTGTGAGCTGGTTGGTTTAGTTGCGGAGCTTTCGTCGTCCACCTTCCAGACAACATCCCCTTTCAGCGCAATTTTCAGCATAAAGTGAAATGATTTAAATTTTCTTCATGAGTGATATAATTGCGTCTCCCGATAACCATCTTTACATATGTATTGACCATTTTCTATTGACTTGAATTTTAAACTTCCTAGTCATATGATTTACTTTTTATTAGTTGGTATATTTGGTCTATAATAACGTGTTCGTTAATTGCATTTTCGTTTGAGTACCAATTTGATTGGGATAATGTCAAAATCTTAGACACAGAAAACACCAGAAGTAATCCCAGGAAATTCCTAGAAGCCTGGTACTCTAAAGAATATGCAATATAGACGAAATATACCAACTAATAAAAAAGTAAATCAGGTGACGCGGAAGTTTAAAATCCAAGTCAATAGAAAATGATCAATACATATATAAAGATGGTAACCGGGAGACGCAATTCTATCTTTCATGGAGAAATTTAAGTCAGTTCACTTTATGCTAACAATACTCTGAAAGAGGATGTTGTCTGGAAGGTGGACGATGTAAGCTCCACAGTTAAACCAACCAGCTCAGAGAACACTAATTATTGCAAAAGTTAAAATCCGCGTGTCAGTGAATTCCAGCCAACGTGATTAAACTGTAAACGAGCTTTCTCTCATAATCTGAATATCCCATATTCGGTCCCTGGTAAGGTCGGGGATGTATACTGATGAAGAGTCCCAAAATAGGATGAAACGCGATGTCCTGGTTACAAGACAAGCTTGTAGACCATTGAGCCAATGGGACCCAACCTTATGGCCATCCCACAAATTCTAACTTCTTCCAATTCGTGGTTTTTCGAACGATTGCAACCCGGTAAGTAATACAGGTGAGTATATGTCTTCATTTCCCCCCCCCGCACTGCGTGGATCACAATAGTCAGGATTTCTCACTAGAATTCAAACCAACTTCATACTGAAGCCAGTCCTTAGGCAACATAGATCCCCAGTGGGTATGTACTGCCGAAGAGTCCGCAACTACGAGGAAACATCTGTCCAGTACTCCGTGGTTTTCCATGGTTAAACCTGAAATAATAATAATGATAATAACAGTAATAATATTAATAATAATAATGACAATAAATAGCAATAATAATAAGAATGAAAATAAAGTGCATTTTGCGTATTACCTTCAATTAATGAACTTTAATTTGATTGGTTGATTATCTTACAGCTGAATAGAATTTAATTGGTCAAAATAATAGACACACATACATAGACATACGAACAGACAAACACGAATAAAATTCAGTAGTCTTAGTAAAATTTTCAACCTAGAAAAGTATTCATTTACCCAAAACAGATGTCACTGAAACTGTGTGTTATGTGTAAGAATAATGAATGAATGAATGTCATAATGTCACATGAGCATGCTCCTCAATTGTGAATAAGGTCAATTAAGGGGTCACCAGGACACATTTTAAGTCAAAATTTATACTAATCAATCCATTCACATCTCATCATTTCTCTATTACGTAATCAACGAAAACCGCTGGCCAATCAGATTTTAGTAGAGTTATATTACCACCAATCACAATGTCCAGGGCGATGAGTTATTCATTTTTTACATGAATATTACAATGCGAACACATTAAACATTGACATTTTATGCCAGTATCTCACCGAGTCATGTTGATGTTTTATTTTTCCCCCAAGTATCGATGGAATAAATTATGAACATTGTTGAACATGAATTTTCAAAACATATCAGGGGAAAATTACCAATTCATCAACGGAACTGTTCTAAATAAACAAATTCATATGGAATTAAATCAATACTTTTGTGTGTATTAGAGGAAGAACATTAACCTAATACCCATCGTTGAAATAAGTATTCTCATGCAATAAATACTTTGGATGTAAATATATACATATATGTGTATTTCTGGATTAGGTGTACAGATTGAACCTGTAAACTGGTGAGTTTATTATTATCATTATTATTAGTTATAAATGCATTTAGACTAGGTGTTCAAAGGATTTTTATTGTAGCTTGTTTTATAATTCATTATATACTTTATGCATCACAAGCTTAATGAACAGTTCCAGTGGATAGTGGATCATAAGCCTAGGCGTAGAGTTCTAGGCTTCGAATTCACGTCATTTCAGGGCACATGATACTTATGTCGAGCTATCACCTTCCCCCGAGGAGCAATATTACTTGATATACAAATAGGTTGGAAAAGAGTATGTGGTAGTCAGTCTGTGAAAACTACGACTTGTAAGGAGATTTAGACTGCCAGTCTGGTTGGGGTCCTTAGAATCAATGGCTCGAGACTATTACTAATGCATTCACTCTGAAATTCCACAAATCTATTACACTCGTATTTGATTTCCGTTTCATTTGATCTTTACCCCATTTATTTCTGCTCGTTAGAGTCCTTTTAACTTTCAGTTATTGGTTTGAAGGGATTTGACTGGTTGGTTGTAGGATTTCATCATCAGGTGATATCGTTTAGGGAACCACTGATAGCTGTTTGGGAACTCCTGATCAGTACTCAACCACCGCCAGGGTCTTTTTGACTTTCTCTTCTATACCTTTGTGTACTACTTGAAGTGTAATAGCTTAAACTGGTTCACTTGTATCTAGCGTTCTACGCTGGCACTCACTCAATGAGTCAGAACACCTCAGGTAGACATGTTCTTGTGCCAGTGTAGATGTTTACCCGGGGAAGTGTAATTCAGTACACATCATTCCAGTACTATTACATTAGACAGTTCATTTACAAGAGTGGCGTTTTTTATCAAACATCTCATGGACTCTTTCCAAATTAAATCACAAAATAAAATACTAGTTAGAGAACCATTGAAAACTAGAGAGTGTACTAAAGGGGGTTCATCGGCAGTATACACCGCTATATGTCTACTAGAAGTTGAATATAGGACTTTTATTTAGCAACAGGAACATAATCAAATTTCTCCTCTCCCCCCCCTCTCAATTCTAAATTCTGTTAATTCATGGTAATACAACCCTGTGGTGATTGATACCTTCGTCCTTCTTGTCTTATCAGAAGACTGTAGAATTCTCGCGCTGTTAAACACATGATCATGGATAGATGAGAAGCTTGTAGTCAGACATATGTTAATCTATGTGAACTATAACATAAACATCATATAATAAATACATCTATATATATGTCATGAAAAAATAAACAGATGTAAGCATAGGCATGACCTGAAGCTATGTCATTTTTCGTGAAAACTGTTCAGATCAATGTTAATTTTCCGATTTTAGACTCTAAATTAATATTATTATTGTTCCCTTGGGTTCCTAGTGGAACATACGGCTTCAACTCCACGTCTCCACTTGCTTCTGTCTTCTCCTGTACTTTTCACCTGCATCCATCCATGTTAGTCCATACTGTTTCAAACAACTCCTATTCACACGATCTCCTCCATGTCAACCTTGCACTGACGACCAACTCAACGCTTCCCTTTTGGCCTGGTTCCGCTTGACCAATGGCCTGACGCGCATGATGTCACACGGCGGCCTCCTCAGCGAGTGAGTGTTCAATCCATCCACCTCCACTTTCTCCTGCATATTTCATGGGCGATTGGTTTGTTCTTGTTTTCTTTGTTAGTGCCCGTAGTTTCTTGTTGTTGGTGATTCTTTCCGGCCCGGCCATCTGATCTTCAGTATAGATCTAGCGAAGACAGTCGCTGGTTGATAAAGGTAACGTCTGCAGCAGTCTGTTGGTGGAAATATTCTTTGTGACCCGCCCGCCAAGTTTCTCATCCATATAGAAGAATTGACTGACTTGACGTTGTTTGCATTGAAAATCCAAGCGAATTTTGTTGTTGATGCTGGCTGAGTGACGTAGATTTCCAGATTGGTTTCAGGTTGACGGTGAATGTGTTTCTTGCTCGCCTTCCCGTTTCTCACTCGATTTGACATCCTCGTCCGTTCCACTTCCTGTAGTTGAGGCAGTTCTCAATTCTAGATAAGTGAGTGAATGAAGTAACCTCTTTCAAATCCCTCCGGTTGATGGTGATTGGCGTTGGATGTTGTTGTTGTTGTTATTGTTGTTTTTGTTGGTTAATTTCGTGACCTCCATCTCGTCTATGTTCACTTGGAGTCCTGTCTTCGCCGACTGCTTCTTCCACCAGTTTGTCGGTCGGTTTTCGCTTGTAAGTCTTCGATTTTGTGTGATATCAAACATCATCAATCATCCATGCGCGAAATCCAGGTCTTCTAGGTTGGTCTTCACGTCGGTCCAGGATATCCCGCCTGTCTTCTCATTTCCCACTCACTGTCTGACGCTTAATCCAGTCAGTCCACCACGATTAGGAATATCATTGGTGATCGATAATAAGCACCCTTGTCTGACTCCTGTGTTTACTCCAAACGCCTCTCTGAATTTCCGTTGTGGATCCCTTGACATGTGCCGTTGTCGTACAGCAGCTGTTGAGTAAGTCTGATGAATATTTGGGGCACTGTACGCCGTAGTACTCGAGTAGTTTCCAAATTACTTCGCGGTCAACGCTACCTCTCGAAGGCCTTCTCAAAGTCTATAAAGTCGAGGTAGAGGTTTGATTGCCATTCTATACTCTAAATAACAATAATAATTGAATAAACTTCTGTAATTCATCCATCTAGCCATTCAAGTCATCAAATTTATCTTCCATTCCACTGTAACTTTCTTAATGAAACCCGAATTTGTACAACAATACCCACAATAACTGATGAGTAGGCGAAATATTTGAAAGTTTATCGATGGGATGTTAGCAATGCAAAACGTTTGGTTTATGTTACCCTTTTTGTTATTGTTGCCGTTGCTGTTATTGTGATTGCTGTTAACCACACGACACGTGCATTTATAGACGCTTCTTTTTTATTAAAGCCAATTATATTAGCTCTTCATTTTATTTTGAAAAATGATTTTTCTATAGTCATATTTCGTGACACGTCCATTTTTATTGTCAATTTTATTGCCCTCACATTAAAGCAAGTTTTATTATAAATCATTATGAGTTGTATTGTAAGGATTGGATTTGTTTTTTTCAAAAAAGTTTAACCATGGACTGATATTAGTTGAACAACGATTGAAAACCGATAGTACACATCCACAGCCAGGGTTCGAACCAAGCGCCTTCGGTTATATAAGTCTAGCTTGTAGAGCATTCAACAACTGGGACCCGAGTTCTCTTTTTTTGTTGTTGTGATTTTAGCACTACCGCCAGCTGACATCATCAGATAACTAACTCTTGAAGATTAACTTGTTAATCACCAGTGATTAGATGGATGATTCTAACGATAAGTGGTGATCAGTGGGGGCCATCCTATCGAGAGAGCCAGGACAACTACTCATCGGCGATGACAATGGCTGGTGGTCAGGCTACAACCACGAATTGGTAGAAGTTATAATTCATTGGCGTCGGTGGCACAGCGGTTAGGACGCTTGCCGACCATGCACATGATCCAGGTTTTGATCCCCACCCGACTCACATCTGATATCAATTGGTGGGCCTGCTAAATTTGAGTTACTGATATCGTATGCTGAAAATTCATACTTGTACCAATAATACGGTGTGGAATCAAGCTAAATCAAAAAACTTCAAAAAATTTATTGGATCGGATTTCAGTGGCTGAAATGTCTGCAAGCTTGCCTTGTAGCTGCAAGGTGCTGGGCTGAAACTTTAACAGTGAGCGCGTACCAGTGGAGAGTCCCAAACTAGGACGAAACAACTGATAAATAAATACTCCTTGTTTATTATTATTTTTTTAACGTCAATTCCTAAAGGTCTGAAGAGTCTTGCTTGCAGTGATTTCTGAGATATCCTTTATATATGGTAAGGTGATTTTCTTTGTGCTTTCCTTGGTTGGGGCTTTTAGATTCGATCCCTATTGTGGAGTTATCGGTGAGTACTACTATCGAAAAATCTCAAACTAGAATGTGATAGCTATCCATACATGCGCGCGCACACGCACACGCACACACAAATAAATATACAGGAAGTGATCTGTAAAAGTGAATGGTAGAACAAAAGTGAAGCAGTTTAGTGTAGTCAATCGTAGTAGCTATTTTTAATAAAATTTAAGGATACAATTGGTGGATGGTGGCTAGCAGTGGAATCCAGGATGCGCATTTCGTCCTATTTGGGACTCGTCAGGTGGATGTACCTGCATTTCTCAGTGAGTGATGATGTTCCCACCGAGGCTCGAGCCCAGTGCCCATAGTTTCAAACGCCAAAGCGTTATCCACTAGACGACTTGGGCCGCGAGAGCCACCTCTTGTGCAACGGGTCATATTAATTATTGAATTGAATTTTTGGTTTTCCCGTATACAAATCAAATCCCCAGACATCGTCGAAGCATCTGCACAAGAAGCCGACATTCAACCTGAGACCGAGCACTTCGGTCCAATCAATCGACGGGAAAATCAAAAATTCAATTCAAAATTTAAGGATAATAATAATAATAATAATCACCTATCGTCTTCTTCTAATTCTGCCTTCTTCAACCTTTCAGGTGTATATAATTGACAGAGAAAGTGTTTCAGTATATATCTATGCATTGTTGATATTCACTAAAAAATATAAAGCTACTTGGTTGGTATTAAATCAGGTTACCTTCGTATTTGAATAAATACCAAAGATACATATCAGTAAATAAAGATATAATAAATAATAGTAATAATAATAATAATCATACTGAATGAATAGTGTTCACAATGACGAGAATAGATAATTAGATAGAAAATAAAAACACTGTGAATAGGTAGATATATACACATAGATAAACAGATAGGTTGGTGGATGGTTAAACTGAGTACGTATCAAATCCTTTGCATTACGGACAACTGCGCGCGCGCGCACACACATACACACACACACACCGAGAGAAAAGAAAAACGCGTAACAAGGCCCTCCCTACTTTCCGTTTCTCTTTTTCTTCTTTTTTTATTCAAATGACCCATCT